ATGCACAATCAGCTTGTAACACTCCAAAGAGAAAGGAAAACTTGAAATCGCATCATATGACCCCTTTAATGTAAGGTAATTGAGGAGAGTTTGTGCTTAAAATACATAACGAAAAAACAACAACCATGACACACAGCCTATAAATAAACCACAATTTTTAAATATTATAATCTTTTAACCCTTAATGGCCGTTAATCCTTGAATGCCAACACAGGTGAAATAAGGTTAAATGCTGCTGTGCAGCTAGTGACCAGGAGGAGGCGCTCTGAAGCCCTGCTGGAATTTTAAAGTACAGTAATTAAGGCAGCATGATGATGATTACTGTGATTACTCATGATTAAGACTAGAACAGGGATAATTTTAACATTATGGGTTTTTGCTTTTTTTTTCATAAACTATTAAGCTAAACGTTTTTACCTTAAATTTACCTCAAACATCTTTACCTTTGTCGTTTAAATGTATAACCTCAATAAATCAGATATAATGGAATTAGAAAGTTCACAAAGGCCAGTGTTACATTCATAAATGATCAACATGTCTTTTCTTTTTCCCCCATATAACCTACCAAAAGCAAAATATTGAATGTATGTTTTTAAATGATTTGATCTAAAAAGTTTTTTTCACTAAAACGTTTTAATTGCATAACGAAATTAGTACAGTATAGTTTAAAATCCACATTCACAGAGCGTGTGTAATATTTTAGCAAATTAACCAATAACCATTCACAACAAAAACATATACAATTTGAAGTAGTGCTGTCAAATGAAATGATTACATATATACATACATGTATATATTTAAAACATATATTTATATGTATATTTATATTATGTATAAATATAAATATTTTATATATAAATACAACATATACATATTCTTAACTATATACATGCGTGTGTGTGTGTACAGTCTATGGTTTATATATACATAATAAATATACACAGGACACACACATATTAAAGATTAATCACGATTAATCGTTTGACAGTCCTACTTTGAAAACGGGATACCTTTTTTTTTTTTACTATTCACGATTTGATCCCTAAAACCTAAAATGACATTTTTTTAGCGGTAAAGAAGACGTTTTTACTTAACTTTTAAATATCCGTGTTGTTGAAATGTTCGTTATGTTGTGAGGAGAGTATTGCCTGTTCAGACCGCCAACAAGACACTTATTGAACTTTTACCATTAATAAACTTGATTCAAGTGGTAACATAAGAACAATTATTATAATATGTAATATCGTTTATGTGGTAAACACATTTTCTCTCAGCAACAAGCACTGTAACGTAACGTTACCTCAAGCTACGTCAGTTTCCGCAGCAAAACCGGAACTGTAGCAGTAGTGGTTCGTACCCGGGGAACTAGTATCTGCTGCACCACTATTTTCGTGTTGAACTTGACGTTTTGTAACATGTTGTTGAAGGGTGTATGTGCACATACCCGCATCATTTGAGTCAGGTAATGCTTCAGCATCTTCTGTATGAAATGCTTGTGGTTGTTTAAAATCATATTAATTAGATATTTAGTCACGGGGTCAACATATACGTTCACAACAATGTAAACAGCGTGATAGCCGGTAGATGAACACGTTAGCTTGCACTATTCTGCATGGTTTACAGTAAGTTGTAACAGGACTTTATACTCTGTGTTATTGGTTAACAGTCGGGTTACGTTGTCTTATCATTTAAGAAAAGTACTTTACTGTTTATACTGTTTACAGCTTTATGCTTAGTTATAATTATTGTAGTAGCACATAAAATAAGGCTGTAAGTAGTTTCACAATTTGCTTGATTATGTTGTAAGTTCGTTTTCATATACACTAGCGTTCAAAAGTCGGTTTTGTTTGATCAGGCCGCATTTATTTGATCAAAGATACAGTAAAAATAATATTGTGGAATATTTTTAGAATTTAAACTTGCTGATCCCAAACTTTTGAAAGTTAAATGGACTTACTATAAAACATGTAATAAAAGCCTACTCGCCTAGGTTTGATAGCCTAGGCCTATGTCTTATTTTCATCAGTAAACCGTTTCTTCAGTCTAGGTACTAAGCCTTTTTTTTTAGTTGTGGACTGATCATACAGTCTGTGTAATATAATCCATCACTCACTCGTATTATTTTAGTGATCATGTCTGTCTATGTTTTGGGTTTTTAGGTGAAACATACCTCTCTTGTGGGGCATTTCACTTATAACTCTAGGATTATGCTATTACCATTCCTTCTCCGTGGGTGCACTGCAAAGCACTATGTACAGCAAGCGCTTTCTAGCACTCGGCTATGCATTAATTGTTGCAACATCAGAGGACTAGCCACTTCCAGTGGCCAGCTCTTCCTCAGGAGGACCCCACAAGGATTCCTCAACCAGTCACGAGGAGCTAAAACTCACAAAAGGAAACATCAGAACCAGGAAGATGACTGGAAGAAAAGGAACAAGACCGTTCTCACATATATCGCGGCTGCCGGAGTGGGAATGATTGGCCTGTCATATGCTGCTGTTCCAGTTTACAGACTGTACTGTCAAGTCAGTATTACACTGATAATCTCAATAGAAGTAATTTTTTTGTGGATTTATAGAATTACAATATCATGTTCCTTGTCTTTCATCAGGCATCAGGGCTGGGAGGCACAGCAGTAGCAGGACATAACACGGATCAAGTGGAGACAATGAAGCCAGTCAGGGACCGTATTATTAAAGTGACCTTCAATGCAGACACACACGCCAGCATGCAGTGGAACTTCCGTCCGCAGCAGTCAGAGATTTACGTAAGATTATATTTTTTTGTGATCAACTTTTTGTTCAGTTTCAAAATAAAATATTAAACACCACAACTATTTTAAATAATAATAATAAATGTTTCTTGAACAACAAGTTAGCATATTAGAATGATTCCTGAAGTATATGACTGAGGACTGGAGTAATGGATGCAGACAATTCAGCATTTTAAAATATATTAAAGTAGAAAAACTTATTTTAGATTGTAATAATATTTTACAATATTACTGTTTTTACTGTATTTTTTATTAAATAAATGTAATTAAAACATCTTCATTATTCCAAACATATACATGTGTGTATATATTAAATAAATTCCAGTAATCTTAAAAGAGGATTGTAAAGGTAATATTATATTTTGATTATAAGTCTGATTCTTTTCTGCCAATACTAAATATTTTGGATTGTAGCATAAATTGTCATTTAAAACACTGATTTTAAGAATGAATGATCATATGGCATTCCATAAACAGCATATTTTTCATTTAATGTCTCTGAAGATGAAGACTATCCAAATTGATTCTTCTATGTTTGAACGTTTCCCAGCTCGTACCAGGAGAAACTGCGCTGGCTTTTTATAAGGCACGGAATCCCACAGACAAACCAGTGATAGGAATTTCTACCTACAATGTTGTACCTTTTGAGGCTGGACAATATTTTAATAAGATACAGGTAAATACACATTTAAATAAACCCATGCTGACATTACTACTATAATTTATGTCTATCCATTTGTTACCTAGCTCACTAAAAAATGCTAAATTCAAAATAGTGTGCTAATACACTGCTCCTTTCTTCCCCAATAGTGTTTCTGTTTTGAGGAACAGAGGTTAAATCCACATGAGGAAGTAGACATGCCTGTTTTCTTCTACATTGATCCAGAGTTTGATGATGACCCGAGGATGGCACGAGTTGATACTATTATACTCTCATATACCTTTTTTGAAGCCAAGGAGGGACAGCAGTTACCCATCCCTGGGTATAGCTAATTATTTATTATTTAGAGAATTTTCATCAGAATTATCTTCAGGAGAGTGTGTTCAGTAATCATTTTGGTAATGATTACTGTATATATTGTCACATTTCACTTAAATGTCTGTATAGATTGAATCAAACACATATAAAAACTGAACAGTAATGAAGACTGATCATCTGTCTGTGAATTTTGTTGAAGATAATAAATTATAAATCACTGTTTTTTATACACCGTAAGATAAAAATTATTTTGATATCAAGCAACTGAGCTGTGTATGCAAAATGTGTCAACATTTGTGAGGATAGTCAGAAATGAGCTGTTTGTTTGGCTTACTTTAGAACACTAGAGTGCAGTATTTGTGCATTTTTATTATTGTCCTTTGATGTAAAACATGATCCTAAAACTTAGCAATTGCATTGGCGTGAAAAAGCATACAACTTGTTGATTATTGTGTAATAAT